GCAGAAGACTCTGGCTCAACTCCGGGACAGAGAGCTGCTGAAGAGGAAAATTTAAAGGTAGTTAAACTTTATTATATATAATCGATATGTTTTAAAAAAGAATATTATGCTGACAAAAATTAAATTAAATTATAATAATTTATATATTAAAATAGATTGTAATGTTGTCTTTAGCCCTCCAAATGCTAGCTAATGGTATTGAAATGACGCATGATCAAATAACCACGTTAAATTACTTGGTAGTGTCAAACCTAGGATTTAAACATTGTAGATTAGATAAAGTTGATGGAGTTTTAAGTGTAGATTTTGGAGAATTTGAATATATGCCTGATGACTTTTCTCAAAATATGAAAATGGTATCAATTCTCGGAAATCTTAAAAGAGTACTTGACACACCAATATATCTTAAATCACTAAATGATGATGATGAGGTTGTTATTGATGATGAATTGGCCGGATCATATTTCATTGAGGCCGTATTGGCGATGGTCAACTCTTCAGTTGATATGTCTAGTTTGAGCCATTTTATGTTGAAAACTTGGATCGAATTATTGCTCATTATTGTTTATAAGGTAATGGTTTTACATAATTTGATTCACTTGCTAAAGATTTGATTGTAAAATACCTTTTGCAATTACAGCATAAAATAGTTCAGGACAAATTAGACAAAGAACAACTCAAAGAACGAGAAGACAATGTAATCAACGCTATAAGAAAAACATTCGAACTAATACCAAAAAATATAACAGAAGAGAATAAACAACTAATCATCGAACTATCAACATCATTGTTAAAGCGAGCGCATATGTTAACGGTTACTATACTTGGTACACAAATTATTACGACAGGGAAACTTTTGACGAAACACAAAAATGATACCAATAGTACGTTGGTTATGAGCGCAAGAACATTTTTAAGAACGGCTTTTCTCAAATTTGCGAGAAACGGACTATTTGTTTTGATTTTTAAGGTATGCTTATCATTTTTCTGTGATTTCTTAAATAAACGGTTCTTGTTAGAATTAGATTTTTTAAAACTAGGATCAAGCAGTCGCAAATGATGACACCGAAGAACTTGACATGTTTAAGGTTCTTCAAGATGTAATTCAAGATGAACAAATCACATATGAAGAAGCGTCGGGAACAATTTATTTGCGAGATGAACCTGTTCGTGATGTCTTCAATCAGCTATACAAGTTTACGAATAAATCTGCTGTTTCATCTGTTCTCTGGAGTTTGAATAAATATGTAGAGTTGGTACATTCTAAGTTATTTAATGATAAATTGATTGACGGTAAGCGAACTTATGATATATTATATGGATGCCTTCAAGTGAAAACTTGTCATTGCGTTTCAAGTTTATTATCTACCGGACTTAGTCTGACTGACTTTTTAGAGA